TTCTCTGAACTACTCAAAGTTTCCGCTACCAGTTCTCCAGAACTGGTCAGAACCTGATGCAACTCACCTCTGAAGTACACGTACAAAAGGAGATTTACTTTTTTAGATCCAAAAAAAATTGCATTAAGCACTTGGTATTAAAATATAGTAAATATCATCTCTTCTGAGTCCCAGGGCCATCAAGGAGGCATGAAGGTTGCCCATATCCCAGAACAGAATAACAGAGTTGGAAGGGACCTTGGAGGTCTTCTAGTCCAACCCCTTGCTTAGGCAGGAAACCCTACACCACTTCAGACAAATGGTTATCCAACCTCTTCTTTAAAACTTTCAATGTTGGAGCATTCACAACTTCTGGAGGCAAGTTGTTCCACTGATTAATTGTTCTCACTGTCAGGCAATTTCTCCATAGTTCAAAGTTGTTTCTCTCCTTGATTAGTTTCCATCTGTTGCTTCTTGTCCTGCCTTCAGATGCTTTGGAGAATAGCTTGACTCCCTCTTCTTTGTGGCAGCCCCTGAGATATTGGAACACTGCTATTATGTCATCCCTGGTCCTTCTTTTCATTCAACTAGACATACCCAGTTCCTGCAACCATTCTTCATATGTTTTAGCCCCCACCCCTCTTATCATCTTTGTTGCTCTTCTCTGCACTCTTTCTAGAGTCTTCACATCTAGAGTTTTTACATCGTGGCAACCAAAACTAAATGCAGTATTCCAAGTGTGGCCTTACCATATAGTCTAAACAAATTTCTCAGTCTGTTCGTAAGAACTTTTCAAAAAAAACCCTGAAACATTCATTCACTTCTGCTGACCAATATTTCGTCAATTTTTCTCACTATCAAACAAACTCTGATCATAATTCACTTTCTTTATTAAACTTCTAATGGTTTTCCTCATCTTCTCAAAAGGAAAAGCAATTTTTGCAGTTCAGTAAATGAGACATATTTCACTGTTCCTCATTTTTCAAAGTAGAATAGTAGCTGGGATTTTTCAGGTATGTTATGAACCCATTATCCCTTTGAAGACACGTAGCACAATCTTCTGAAGTTCCAATACATTCTGTGATTTCAACTCCTGTGGAAGCGGGTGTGGGTTTGAGGTCTTTCATTGCAAACAGGGAAGGAAATTAGATTCCCACCCCTCCCTGCCCTTTCCCAGTTGCCAAGTAACAAATAAACTGTTATTTAATTCCGTCACTTCCATTTTCCATAAAACCTGCTTTTTCCAGTTCAGAAGGAACAGGGGAAAACAGCTGATAATCCACTGATAAGTGTCAAATCCCTCTATAAAATGGAATTTGCATTATATTCATTGGCAAGTGATATTGAAGATAACTGCATTTTATGCTGAAGGATATGCTGGACAATTCAAGTGGAATTGAACCAAGGGACTAAGCAATTTTCATCATAGGCACTAAATCATGGTACAAAAGTGTGCTGGAATAATGTATTTTTTTTTCCAGCTGTGTTCTCATGATAACTCAACATCAGCCTATGAGTGAAACAGCCTTACATTACCTTTAACTTATAGAATAATACTTGCCCCCCATTTTCCAACATTGTCCAACAGCTTATGCAATGTCTGCTAGCCATTGTTACCTACCCATATTTTCCCGAAAATAAGCCCTTCCCTGAAAATAAACCCTCCCCAAAAATAAGCCCTTCCCTGAAAATATTTAAATACATGAGCAGCTGGTCTCTGCCATTTCCTCTGGTTAGGCTTAGGGAGACAGAGCTCAAAATCAGGTAAGATGGCAAGAGGAGCCCCGTCTTGCTCCACGCCCTCCAAAATAATAAGACCTCCCTGAAAATAAGGCCAAGCGCTTATTTTGGGGTTCAAAAAAAATATAAGACAGGGTCTTATTTTCAGGGAAACACGGTATTACTTTTGAAAAGTTCTGATCACCAAGAACAGAATCGGTAAAGAGGCTGAGCAGCAGAACAGCAAATCCCATACCAGTAGACTTTTTTGCTGACTCAGGGATGGATACACATACAGCATTTTAACTCATATAGGTTGCATTTGTCACCTTACATTTATTTGGGATGGTGTGCTTGGGGTTAGTATTTCTAAGTGAGTCAACAGCAAATGGTAATCTTTCTTTGGCTAAGCCAACTCCATCATTGACCAAACTTTGAAAAGCCTCTCTGATAACATTTGTTTTTGATGCATTTGTTCTTTCATACACCTGCTGAGTATGGGAAAAAAAAACAATGACGCTCAGTGGCAGAAATGGCATTTCTTGGAGAATGTTAAAAGACAGCAATGAGACCATCATTATGGGTGCCATTGGAAGAGGAGAAGGATCGGGGAGGGGGAGAGAGAAGGAGGAGAAGGAAAAAGAAGGGGTGGAGGAGAAGGGGGAAGGGGAAGGAGAAAGAGAAGAAGGAGAGGGAGAAAGAAGTGGTGGGGAGAAGGGGAAGGCAAAAGGGAAGGGGAAGGGGAAGGGGAAAGGAGAAGGAGAAAGAGAAGGAGAAGGAGAAGGAGAAGGAGAAGGAGAAGGAGAAGGAGAATGATATCCACAGACTAGCTGGAAGTCATTCACTATTATTAGATAAGTTTTAAGTGATAAGATCCTCCACTATTTTACCATCAACTACAGTATTCTGGTCATTCTGGATACTCCTGGCTGTCAGCCTGAAATTATTACAGCAGCCAGCAAATCCATGCCCTAATTTGCACTAATTTCCGGTCAACTCTTGTTTAACCAGGTTGGATCATACGTTCCCACAAACATCCGGAGTGGCTTCCCATGGCAGATACAGCTCAATGTCCAAATGTTACTTCTAAATATTCCTTAAAGGCGTTGGGGTACAAGAATGTGGTGAGGTGACTTCCTTCCTTATTGCATTCTTACTGGTTAAGAGAAATACCCTGTGGGTATCAATCTGCCTATTGCTTTGCCATGTGCCTTATTCCACAATCACAGGATTACTTTGTCTTGAAGTCCATCAAAAGCCCAAAGTTGCACGAGTAAAGTTACGCAATTTACAAATGAAAGCGGTACGATCACAGCACTGTTTTGTTAAACGTGTATGCTCTCTCTTTGGCAAATGCCCCCTTTAACTCAAATCAAATCAAGTTTTTATGATGATGATGATGATCATAGACCGGCATAAAATTTCCCCCCACCCCCTAAAATAGCTACAACTCTCACATCAAGATTTAAACATGCGTAGCATAAATTATCAATAGCATTTAATAAAATCATTTGATCAGTACTAAAGATGCTTTAAAGAATCAAACATAGTGCCATGCAAACACATTGCAAACAGATCTGGTTTTTTAAGCATTAGAGCATGTTTATGTAGGTGGATGTATATATTGTCCCTTTGCCTGTATTCACAGGAGAATAAGGAACTGTCCTCTTTATTCCTATTGATGGATATAACTGTTCGTTTCTAAAATGCACTGAGTTTTAGCAAACAATCAGGGTTCACTAGCTAGACCAACAACCTCATTACGTGTCCGTGACAACTCTTGTACAATTCGCCCAGAATAGTGGATGGTAAATTATAGCCACTCAAACTATAGGCAGTCACGGTATTATTCATTGCCTCATGCAATTATTTAAACACCATTCGCTCGTTCTAAAATCTAAAGTATCTCTCATCCATAACCTAAGTATAAATCAACCAACTGAAGGAAAGAAGGAACAGGTAAGCATTTTGATTTAACAGATATCCAATACAATCTGGCTGAACGTAAAAAAAAAATATCAAGGCATTGCACGTATTTTTCATTAGAGTTAAGAAGTTGTTGGTTTAAAACAGTCTTTAAGGCAATTGGTCATAAGAACGAACTATCTACGCTCCGGTCCGTGCATGAAACACACTCCAGCAAAGCTTCACCTTTTTGAGATCATTTTTTGAAGCACATTGTCCATTGCAAGAACATTAGCACAACAGGCAAGATTTTACAAGCTATATATCAACGTCACATGGAAAGCAAGAGAAAAATTGAGCTGAAACCAATAGATAGATAGATAAATAGATAGATAGATAGATAGATAGATAGAAAGAAAGAAAGAAAGAAAGAAAGAAAGAAAGAAAGAAAGAAAGAAAGAAAGAAAGAAATATAGGTTCCCCAGAGCTAATAAATATCACAGGATTATCATCTCCATGGGTGGGATTTTCCTGAAAGGTATGCTTTATGGATTTCTTGTTAAAATATCTTACACCAATGTTTTAACCGGTATCTGTACAGCATAGTTAGTTCAACAGAGAACATTATTGCTTTTTTCCCCCTCTCAGATGGCTGGAGAGAGAATCTCAGATTTCCAAATTCTCAGCCTAAATGAAGCCCATTATTTGTATTTGGGAGGCTCTAGATTTGAAGGATGTGCCAACTCGGTTTTATTTTATCTTATTTTTATTTTTGCGTGCTGAAACTGAGCTTCAGTGAAGTCCAAAGTGAGGCAAATCGAAAAGGGCCGGACAGATTCCCAATCAGCTGCCTTTCTCAAAGTGGTGCCCAAGTTACTTCCAGAGAGGAGAAAAATGGACCATCAGTTCTTCCTTCAGGGAGAAAATGGGTGGGATTGACCTCGTGATGAAAGTTGCACTTGAGAAAGGGAAGCAGGTGATACGACCGGCTTGGTCTGCCTGTGGAGAGCCAGAATTTCAGAAACCAGAAAGCCTCTTAGGGATATCTCCAGGAAGGCATTACAAGTGGCACCCTCTGCCAGGGAGATCGCCCCACTCTCAGCCATCCTTCAAAAGCCTGGGAACTCAATTGCTTGAGAAGGGGAGAGAGAAGGAGAGAGAGGGAGGGAGGGAGGGGGAGAGAGAGAAAGAGAGAGGGAGGGAGGGAGAAGGGGAGAGAGAGAAGGGAGGAAACAGAAAGAGAGAGATGGGGAGAGAGAGGGAAAGAGGGAGAGAGGGAGAGAGAAAGAGGGAGGGAGAGAGGGAGAGAGAGGGAAAGAGAGAGGGAGAGGGAGAAAGAGAGAGGTAGAGAAAGAAGAGAGAGAGAGAGAGAGATGCATACAATTCTGCTGCCTTACCTTGATCTGGTCCAGCGTAGCTTTTGAGGTGGCTTCCGTCCACTGCAAGAACGAGAGAAATTACAGCCAATTCCCCGTGAATCATCCTAAACGACAGAGTGAGCTTCGTGGCTTAGCCTTCTTGCTGCCTCCAGTATGTGACAGCTGCCGGCTAGCTTTGGAACAAGCGTGTCCCATTCTGCTGTTTTCTGCAGGGGGAGCAGTCGGCGAGAAGATCCAGCAGCAGAAGAAAGGCAGAAATGCAAGGAGGGGGCGTGGGAGAAAGCCATTGCCAAGAAGAGGGCTGAGAAAGGAATATACCATGCGATTTCTCTCTCCATCTTCTCCTGAAGGATGGGAGGGGGGGAAGGCTGGGCTTCTCTTTTTCTTCCAAGTTACTTTTCCACAATCCAGACAGAACGCCGGAAAACCCAGGCGCTCTGGAGTCTCTTTCAAAAAAAATAAAATAAAATAAAATTCAATAAATCTTATTTGGCCATCGTGACTTGGGAAGGCAGGGAGGTGGGGAGCACGTTTCTACATCTTGGCCCTTACGGGCTCAACTGAAAGTCCTCAAAAGCTATCACTGCTTTATAACTGGGGGTCCTGGATTAGAGAGAACAGGGTTTAAACTTGGGGCATGCTAGCTAGCGCCAGCTTGAAAGGCATAATAGTGGCAGATGAAGCTAGTGAAGCGAAGGAGCAGGAGAGACATCAGGGATGGGTTCTAATTTTTTTTTACTACCGGTTCTGTAGACGTGGCTTATTTTGTGGGCGTGGCTTGATGATCATTTTTTTTAAAAAATTTGATTTATATGCCGCCCTTCTCCGGAGACTCAGGGCGGCTTACAATGCGTTAAGCAATAGCCTTCATCCTTTTGTATATTTATACAAAGTCATGACAATTATTTAGGATTTAGCAGAGGTGCTGGTCTACCAGGCTTTTAACTGCTTGCAGAGCTGTACCGATATACCCATTTATTTTTGCAGGCACTGGTCTACCCATTTATTTTTTGCAGGCACTGGTCTACTCATGTATTTTTGCAGGCACTGATCTACTCATCTATTTTTACAGTTACCGGTCTACTCATTTGTTTTCTTTTAACACTGATCAGCTGTAGGGCGGCCCTTTGAAGCCCTGGCAAGAGTTTAAACAGTTTTTTTCCCTCTAGCCATCAGCTGGGACTCAGGAGGCAGCAATAGATTGGGGGTGGGGCCAAATAAAAGGTAAGAATAATGCGGGGGGTGGGTGGGGACGGGGGGAAACGGGGGGTTGGGGGCAGGGGGTGGGGGACAGGGTGGGCCCAGAACCGGTTCGGTGATGTCATATCATCACCACTACCGGCTCAGCGGAACCGGGTGGAACTGGGAGAAACCCACCACTAGTGGAAACTAATCAAGGAGAGAACCAACCTACAACTAAGGAAAAATTTCCTGACAGTGAAAACAATCACTCAGTTAGGGTTAGGGTGAGGGTGAGGGTGAGGGTTGGGGTTGGGGTTGGGTTTGGGGTTAGGGTTTAATTTAGGGTTAGGGTTGGGGTTAGGGTTTAAGTTAGGGTTCGGGTTCGGGTTCGGGTTCGGGTTTGGGTTTGGGTTTGGGTTCGGGTTCGGGTTAGGGTTACGGTTAGGGTGAGGGTGAGGGTTAGGGTGAGAGTTTAGGGTGAGGTTAGGGTGAGAGTGAGAGTTTGGGTGAGGGTGAAGGTTAGGGTTTGGGTTAGACTTAGGGTTTGGGTTAGGGTTAGGGTTAGATTTTACATTAGGGTTTGGGTTAGGGTGAGGGTGAGGGCAAGGGCAAGGGCAAGGGCAAGGGCAAGGGCAAGGGCAAGGTTTTGGGTGAGGGTAAGAGTGAGGGTTGGGGTTAGGGTTTCACATCAACAGTTTACCAATATATGCTAATTAAAATCTAGGGGGGGAAATCTATTTTGGTCCCACAAAGTATGGTAGATATATTGAAATTGCTGAAAATATCTGAATGCATGTTTTACTTTCCCCCTTATTGTCTCTTCACACATTGCAAATTCCTTTCAACACAACAGAAGACCACGTAGGTCAATATATTTGTCCTTTTTTTAAAAAAATGGTATCACAAAAATATCTATGGAGATTCTCTATCATCCAGGTCATGGTTGTTCCAAAGGTGTTTTTTTATTCAAGGAGTAATTGGACTTTCTGGTTTTTTCTTTGTAGACGTTTCGATTCTCATTGAAGAAGCTTCTTCAGCTCTGGCTGGATGGTGGGAAATCACAAAAAATTATATTACACTTACATTAAACTTTGTTGTTGTTCAGTTGCTAAGTCATTTCTGGGTCTTCGTGATCCCATGGTCCACAGCATGCCTGGCCCCCCTATCCTCCACCGTCTTTTGGAATTTGTCCAAATTCATGTTCATGAAATCATGTGCATCAAAATCACCATCTAACCATTTCATCCTCTGCAGTCCTCTTCTCCTTTCGCCTTCCATCTTCCCCAGCATCAGAGGCTTTTCTGAAGAGTTCTCTCTTCTCATTGGGTGGCCAAAATATTTTAGCATCTGCTTCAGAACCTGTCCTCCCAAAGAAGAGTTGATTTCCTTTAGGTTTGATTGATTGGATCTCCTTGCAGTCCAAGGGACTCTCAAGTGTCTTCTCCAACACCACAACTCCAGCAAGATCCATTCTTCGGCACTCAGCCTTTCTTATGGTCCAACTCTCACAGCCATAAGTCACTGTTGGGAAAACTATTGTTTTGGCTATACAGACCATTGATGGCAAGGTGATGTTTCTGCTTTCTAATATGCTGAATGTCAATTCGGAAAGCATCCCTGGTCTGCTCTCGAGTTGTCATAGGCAAGGGGGATGTGAAAACAACAAAGCAGCATGGCAGCTAAAAAACAAAAGCACATTCCAGACATATCTCTCTCAAGGCTGTATCTCAGAGTTACCCACAGTGGCTGGAGGGGAGTGATCTCTACAACCCGCGAAATTGTCCTGTTGGCAAATGTGACTGATGACACACCTTGGAGGGAGGGGGGAAACAGGGTCAAGATTGGCTCGAGGCTCATGATTTAATTAGGCCATCCATCGGAACTCTGACACTGTCTAGTTTTGCCATAGCTTAAACAATTCTAGGATGAGCTTTTTACATTTTCCATGCGTCCTGGATGGTATTCGTTTTATTTTTTATGAAAGAGTTCTAATTCTGCCAGTCCCGACAAAATAATAATTTCTCTTTTTCTTTTCTGAGTAAATGGATATTGTTAGAGACCTTTCTTCAGCAGAGCTATTGACCAAATCTTATGAAACTATATTTCAAATTAAAAATGATTCAGATATTTCCACTGGTGAACAGTGAAAAACTTTGCCGCTCAGGGGAAATAGAACATAAATTTCCTGCTTTGTAATGTTGTATTCTTCCATCAAATGTATATGCTAAGCCAAACTTTGGTGAAGAGGGTTAATGCCAGCAAAGTTAAGGTTGGCAAGATGCAAAGGGGTTTTTTTTAGTAGTTTTTTTATTTTTTAAAACAAACAAACAAACATTTAATACATCAATCCTCCTTTCCCTGTGACATCTTGGTGTTATCTTCTGGGCTTCTTCTCCATCTTCCATAAATTTCTTCTATCTTCATCTTCGTTCAAACCATTCTAACATTTCGTTGCTAAAGCAATGTTATAATCATCATTTATACATAGTTATAATATTGGTCATTTATATCTCTTTTACAATCAACTATAAAAATGATTCCATGTCTTAAAATATTCTGATTCTTCCTTATCCTTAATCATCAAGGTTAATCTATTCATTTCTGCACAATCTAAACATTTTTTTTATTACTTCTTCTTCCAAAGATATTTTCTCTAATTTCCAATTTTGAGCATACACAATTCTTGCAGCTGTTATTACATGTATGATCAAATATACATTTTTTCTGGAAAGATACCCAATAGGAACAACTCTGGTTTAAATTCAGTGTGTTGCTGTATCATTTCTTCCAACCAGATTTTAATTTTGTACCAGTAACTTTTTGCTTCAGAACAGGTCCACCACATATGATAATAAGATCCTGGTGTTTGATGCCATTTCCAGCAGGTAGCTGACTTATCTTTAAACATTTTTGCTAACTTCTCCGGTGGCATATGCCATCTATAAAACATTTTATATTGATTTTCCTTAAATGCAGTGGACATTGTTAATTTATAGTTCCTTTCCCATAGTTGTTGCCATTTTTCAAACTCAATTGGATAACCAACATTTCTACCCCAGGCTATCATTGTTTCTTTTACTTGCTCCTTCTCCAGTTCAATGCACAGCAAAAAGGTATAAAAGTTTTTTATTAAGTTTTCCTTGTTCCCATGAGTAGGCAAGATGCAAAGGTTGACTTGATATATACATATGACATGAATTATATTTAGTGTTTTTATAAACACAGTGATTGACATGGTTATTAAATGGTTCTATAAAGTAATTTAGTTGGTTGATGGCAACCACATCTTAAACATCTCTTTCTCTTTGATTTTGGTCATCTTTGATTTTACGCAGTGCCATTGTCAGTTCTACATCTGAATTGGTACTCAAGTTAGATATACTGTACATGTATCCTTTTCAAAGAGTCTTGCTGATAGACTTTCACTCAACCCTTTTCCCAACTGGAAAGAGGTAACTGGACTTTCTGGGTTTTCTTTGAAGACATTTCACTTCACATCCAAGAAGCTTCTTCAGCTCTGACTGGATTGTGGGGAATGGAAGGATTTATACTCCTTGCAGACAGCTGGTCATTTGCATCCTTTTAGAGAGTTGTTAAGGTCACCTGGACATTTGTCTGTTTCCTCAGGGTCACAAGTGATGCAAATGGGTGTGGAGCCCTCTTGGAATTGTTGAAAGGACTGTGTTGTAGATCGGAGAGAGGCGATGTTGTATCCCTCTCTCTGTTGAGAGAGGGCTTTTCAGTTTTGACACAAATGGTCTCTTTGACCCCTATTTCAAAACCAGCAGTCCTTCAGTCCAAAATGTGGGCTTTGCTGTCTTCAAAAGAGCGGCCTGTGTCTTTTAAATGCAGATGGACTGCTGAATCTAGTCCTGATGTATTTGTTATCTTATGTTGTGTCATGCACTTGTGAAGTGGTTGTTTTGTTTCCCCAATGTACAGATCTCAACCCTTTTGTATTTGTGCTACATAGGCCTCTAAGATCAATCCCAGCCATCATACCTTTAGCACTGATTGGGAAAAAATGACCTAGGAA